AATTACAACTGCTCTTTAGGTAGCAGAGATCAGTTCCTCTGGAGAAAATGGTGGACTCAGTGTCATTATACCCTGCTGAGGTTGCCACAGCAAATTGACACTGAGTGTCCAAGGCCAGGGCACCTGTCCAGAGCCTCTTTCTAGAGGCCGTTGTATTTATTTCCACAACGGCCCTTTTTCCTAGTATTACAATAAGAGAATTAAAACATTTAAAACAATGCTAAAACCAGTTAGCAATAATACAGAAGTGCTAATACTGCTGTTGCTGAATCAACGGTGACGACCATATTAGTTCTTTATTCTCATAACTGGTTCCTAAGTCTGCTCCAGGTGTCTTCCAGGCGGCTGGCACAGGCTGATGTTATGGGTTCCAGAGACAGCCGGGCTTCCTTTCCTTCAGCAACAAATTGCTAATGATGTTCAATGGTGGCGGTGGCTCCAAAAGCCTGGAGGAAGAGCTCCGTTTTACAGGCTCTGCGGAACTGTAAAAGATCCCGCAGGGCCCTGATCTCTTCTGGGAGCTCATTCCACCAGGATAGAGCCACCACCGAGAATGCCCTGGCCACGTAACCAACAGTAGTCTTTTGAGGAAGCGGCAACAACTTCTGTCTGTGGAAATTATGAGCTGGGCCTGAGATTTTCTGAATGAGGGCTATCATCCTAGGATTGCCATCTATGGGTTGGGAAATTCCTGGAGATTTGAAGGGTAAAGCCTGGGGAAGGTGGGGTTTGGGAAGAGGCCTCAGTGGGGCATTATGGCATATAGTCCACCACCCAAAGCTGCCATTTTCTCTAGGGGAACTTAACTCTGTAGTCTGGATATCAGTTGACATTTTGGGAGATCTCCACACCCCACCTGGATGTTGGCAAGCCTAAAGCACGTGACGTTGATGCATGCTCATCACTGCTTACAAAGCTGTTGGCAGAGTGCTGGACTAGGACCTGGGGGACCCAGAGTTGAACCCCCCTCTGCTACGGAAGCCTGCTGGGGGACCCGGGGCCAGTCACACCCCCTCAGCCTCACCCACATCACAGGTTTGTTGTTGTAAGAATAAAGTGGAGGAGGGGAGAACAATTCTGTGAGCTACTTTGAATCTTCACTGGGGAGAAAGGTAGGGTATAAAATATTCCATGCATGAAGAAGCCGCCGCCAGCTGCTGCCATGAAAGCCGAGCAGGTGAGCAGTCTGATGTCGGCTGAACCAGCCACCTCTTCCTTGGGGATGAAGATGCTGCTCAGGATGGCCAGTGTGTCACTTGCCACCCCCACCCCTCCAGTGCCCTAGGTAATCATGTAGGCCAGGGGTCCCCAGCTTGCTGCCTCTGGGCACCACGGCCACCTGTCAAGACTTTTCCTGGTGCCCACCAAGAGTTTTTGAAAAGTGGGCAGGGTCAGGCGGGCTTTTGCCCATCATGACTGCTGATTGGCCACTAGAGACTTGATTGGCTGTGCAGATTTTTGAAGACACTGCTTGGGCTGCATCTGCTGCCACAGCACAAGGATCTTCACTGTGTGACTGGAGGTAAGCTGCTGCAGCCATTTTGTGCCTGCCTCTGCCCCAAGGTTAGGGTTAGTCTTGGTCCACCTAATGGGTGGGCCAGGCCTCTCTGTTACCAATCATAATATCCCTCTGCGCCCGTACAGAAGATGATGACCAGTGACATTTGATAATTGCTCTTTCTCTGAACAACCTGTTACCTGGAACTGGATCACTTTCTCTGTGGAGAGGCAAAGGTACATCCCATCACTGCCGTGAAGCTGGAAAGCACATTTGTGCAGCTGTGAGATGGGCTCATCCACATCCATCAGCACAGATTGCTTAGCAACTTTGCGAATAATCTGGGGAGACAAACACAGAGATGGGCTAGCAGCTGGATGTGTGTGTGTGTGAAGACTCCATTCAACCTCAGAACCATCAAAGCATTTTTTAAAAAAAACCCCTATCCTTCATTTCTATGTAGGGAAGTGATTTTTCACTTTTGGATTCACTACCGATGCCACCAGGAGAACATGTTGCCCTGAACATGGAGATTTCCAACAACACAGCTGTACTAAAATGTCAGGATGAGACCTCCTTTTTATTAAGCACTTCTAAAGCATACTGATGCAGCCATCCGGGGCCCTCACAGCTGCATGGATTCAGTCTGTAGGCACATTGTTTGATTCATGATGGATTATGATCTTAACCTGTTTTTCAGATACACAGGGGCTTCTAGAAATTTAAAATACAGATATAAATGAAATGCTTAGGGAAGTTGTTCTGACATCTCTCGTGCAAGAGGGGAGAGCCACACAGGATAACTGTCCTGATCAAACCCTTGGTGTACAACCTTTGGAATTATGAAGAAATGTGGTTTCTATCTGAGCTCCTTTCAGAAGACAACAGTCACTTCTTAAGGCCTAGCGGAGTGCCCCTATGCTAGAGCGGTAACGCTTGGAGAGCAGGCAGCCTCTGAAAACATTGTAAAACAAAATTTGTTTAAAAGTCACAAAATGACTGTGACCCACTGATGACAGGAAGACTTGCATTATGTAAGAGGCACAGAGCTGGGCAGGAAAGGGTAGGACGGACACCTTTATCCTTGTTGTAGAATCTGCACCTCTGCCGTCCCCCCTAATTTTAATCTCTTGCTACTCCACTGAGCGTGTGTGGGGGATACATAACAGGGGGCAAGAGTGAGGGGGTTGCAGCACAGGGTTGGGAGGTTTCCAGGCAACAGTGGCAATCCTAGTGGGGGCAGGGGGGAAAGCAATCAGGCTGGAACCTGCCTGTGGAACAGCATCCCAGATGTGGTCTTGGTGGTGGTGGGGCTCCTACCCTCTTGGCTTTCTGGAGTTGTTCCAGAGAGTTTTGGGAGCAGCCCAAGCCTGAACAAAGGGGAAATACCCTGCTGATGGGGGCATAAGGTCTTTTCGGTTTTTAATGCTTTCCTGTCTGTTGTTTTGCCCTGACCTGAATGGCCTAGGCTAGTCCGATTTCATCAGACCTCAGAAGCTAAGCAGGGTTGGCCCATGTCAATATTTGGGATGGGAGAGATTCAAGGAATACCAGGGTCACTACGCAGAGGCAGGCAATGGCAAACCACCTCTGAATGTCTCTTGCCTTGAGAACCCTACAGGATGGCCATAAGTCAGTTGTGCCTTGACGGCACTTTCTACCACCATCTGTTGTTTTAATGTTTGCTTTATCGAATTATTTGTACATTGTTGGCCCCCACGTTGAGTACTGAGAAAGCTCAGGAGAAAGGTGAACATATCCATATTGATTTTATATGAATAAACAACCAAACTAGACAACTGTATGGTCCACGTTTAGATTTACAGCTAAGCCTTACTCACCAAAGGGGGCAGCGCAACACCTGTGGCTGTGCAAATGAGACGGACCACAGATCCATAGCGAATGTAGCCTTCTCGGAGGGGGAACTGGGAACAACATTCATCAGCTTAAGACAGAACAGACAGAAAGAGTCAAAGGCTAAAAACAGTGAACAGGAAGTCAGTTTGACTGCCATGTTACCCTTGATGGAAAATTAGACATTTGAATAACTTGCCTTGTTTTGTATATGGTACTTTGTAATGTTCAAGTGTCACAAGCCATCTCTGAGTGTCTCTTGCCTTGAAAGCCCTACAGCGTTACCATAAATTGGCTTCGACTTGATGCCACTTTCTACCACTATCTGTTGTTTTAATGTTTGTTTTATCAAATTATTATTATTATATTGTTGGCACCCACATTGATTATTTCGTGGGCAGACATGACAAGGCACATTCAATCCCTGTTGCCACCCGCTCTATTTAAAGTAATTTATTTACAAGAAAAATAGCAATTACAGGATGACACATATCCAAACGCACAACTCTAGGAGGCCAAATAAGTAAAAAAACAAACCCCTAATTGATGCCATTTCCAAGAAGTGACAGATTAAAGTCTATTAATCAGAGTTTACCTTATTGCTTTATATTGTATTCATCCCCTGTAGAAAACTTAATGCATTTGATTTTCGAGTACACTGTGTCACATCACAAGTCTCCTGTGCTCATTTAACATGTTTAAATTACAACAGCGACCTTGTAAAAAATGTTAACTTTATTAACTTTACCATCTCTGAATCCTGCTATTAAACGCTCTCTGTTTCTGTAGACCGCCACCCACCCATGGGCACAGTTCCCTCGGTTCAGCGGTGCCAGCGCCTGGCCAGCGGCAGCCTCATTAATGTCCTGCATGAATTATTAGAAATGAGCATGCACATAGCAAGCCTCACCCAGATGAAGCGTAAATGCTGCCCACTGCCTGGCGCTTGCGGTGAAGGCACCACCCTCCACAGAAAGATAGCGGGTGCTGACTGTTTGGGAGCGCAAGCGGTTGAAGAGGGAGACCTTGGATCCAGAAGAAATACACACTGGGGGGGGGGGACAGAAAAGAAGAAAGCATCATCAGTGACGCAGCCCTAAGAAGAACCTTTGGGATGTTTGTAATGCAAATTAAAATAAACTGGCATTGGCAGGAATATAAATTTGAGTCCTTCTGTTTCACATTAATAATATTTTAGGCGTATGTTACTGAAATATTACAAATGATATTGCTTCTACATGATTGCCTCTTATTCTGGCTTGGCAACATATGAATGGAAAAGCCCAGCAGGAACTCATTAGCATAATAGGCCATACCCAACAGCAGGAACTCATTAGCATATTAGGCCACACCCATGACAGCACAACTCATTAGCATATTAGGCCACACCCCGTGTTACCAGGCGTGGTCATCCTACCACACCCACCTTTTGCTTCTTATTCTGTTTACCTTGTTTGTTGTCAAAACCAGGGCTTTTTTTGGAGCAGGAACTCCTTTGCATGTTAGGCCACACACCCCTAATGTAGCCAATCCTAATGAGTTCCTGCTGTTGGGTGTGGCCTATTATGCTAACGAGTTCCTGCTGGGTGTGGCCAACTTGGGAGCCAGCCGGAACTCCGTTCCTATGCGTTCCTGCCCCAAAATAGCCCTGATTAGGTGGAAGGGGCAGACGACTCGGGATGCATCTACACAGGTGTAATTCCCTTTTGTAGACTCACTGGCACTGCAAAGACAGAGGCAGCAATGGAGCACCCACCTGGGATGATTCAGGGCCCCCCCATCCCCTCATGTCTGCCACTGACACCCCATAGAGCTTTTTTAAAAAAAAAATCTAGTTGATATATTGCTATAGCAGCAAAACTTCCTCCTGCAGCTGGAGAGGAATGGCAGGTGAGAGTGGAAATGGAAAGAGAGTGATATCAGATGTGAGTAGAGAAATGCAGAAATCCACACTCTTGCATCCACATGTGGGCTAATCCACTTTGACTCTGAAGTTTTCAGAAACATCAGATCAAACCAGGTTCAAGGTACATTGGAGCAAAGGGGTTGGGGGAGGGGGGATCCATGGAAGGCAAATGAGAAGAGGACGACATAATGTGGATGTTCCAAAAACGGTCCAGAGTGCTGTTTGAGAGCTGAAGCAAAGCAAATCCTTCATATGAAAGAGGCTGGTGACTTTTTGTAACAGTGTCGCCCACATTGTGATTTGCACAGGAAGCAAGAAGGGTCCCAATATATGGTTGGAAGGCACGAAGCTTATATTTGGAGCTAAGCCAGTCTGGGTCTGGCCTAGATGTGAGGCCTCGTGGAAACCTTATGAACCTGGCCTAAAACAGTCTTGATTGTGGGCAGCATTTCTTATTGGGTGACCGGTGCAGGGAAGTAAAACTTAAATTCCTCCTTTCTCAGTGCTTCAGCCTTAATCCATACTGGGCTGCAGGTAGATTACATGTTTAGGGATCTGATTACAGAGCCCCACACCATCATGTGAAGTCTTGCTTTTGGGGGAAGGGCAGGATACAGATGCAATAAATAAATAGGTGTAGGGGAGTCATGGCGGAAGCCCGTTCTGCAGCCCATTTTTCTGTCCTCCATTTGACCCCACAGTAAATCCCTTGTCTCCTCTTTCCTAGCCATTATTCTCCTAGAGCTCAATGACATCTGCTGTACACCCCCAGGGCCTAATGGGAACCTGGTATTCCTAACTACACCAGTTTGGTGTAGTGGTTAAGTGCGCGGACTCTAATCTGGGAGAACCGGGTTTGATTCCCCACTCCTCCACTTGCACCTGGCTGGATGACCTTGGGCAAGCCGTAGTTCTGACAAGAGCTGTCCTTGAAAAAGAGCAGTTTCTGTCAAGAGCTCTTTCAGCCCCACCTACCTCACAGGGTGTCTGTTGTGGGGAGGGGAAGGGAAAGGAGTTTGTAAGCCGCTCTGAGACACCTTTGGGTAGTGAAGGGCGGGGTATAAATCCAATCTCTTCTCCTCTCCTCTTCTCCTCTTCACGTGCAATTTATGCTGCACAACATAAAACAGATTTATACCCCGCCCTTCACTCGGAGTCTCAGAGCGGCTTACAAACTCCTTCCCCTTCCCCTCCCCACAACAGACACCCTGTGAGGTGGGTGGGGCTGAGAGAACTCTGACACAAACTGCTCTTTTTCAAGGACAGCTGTGCCAGAGCTTGTGACTGACCCAAGGTCACATCAGCAGGTGCAAGTGGAGGAGTGGGGAATCAAACCCGGTTCTCCCAGATTAGAGTCCGCGCACTTAACCACTATACCAAACTGGCTCTAACTCACCCTTGAACATCCCACCCTTCCTAGAGTTCGCCTATATTCCTATAACTTCCTGTTGTATCTGCTTGTTTCATCCTGCACTAGGTTTTATTTTTGCCAGTCTAACAGTAGTTGAACCCTGACCCAGACAGCCCAGGAGAGCCTGATCTCTTCAGATCTGGGAAGCTAAGCAGGGTTGGCCTTGGTTAGTATATGGAGGGGAGACCACCAAGGCAGTCCGGGGTTGCTATGCAGAGGCAGGCAATGGCAAACCACCTCTGAATGTCTCTTGCACTGAAAACCCTGGGAGGTGAGGTGGGGTGGGGTTGGGTCACTGTAAGTCAGCTGCAACTTTACAGCACTTTCCACCACCAAACAGTTAGTTGGGGAGTCTCACACACCCTCTCCAGGTAAACTGATTACTCTTTGGATTGGTTCTAGTTTTGAACCAGCCTCTCTTTTTAACCCTCCCTTCTGTTTTGCATAAGTTGGCCTGATGGATGTACACCTCAGATGTCTGATGAAGGGAGCTCTGACTCACAAAAGCTTATATGGACTCCTCTTTTATTCTACCACTCTTCCCATCTTTCCCTGTGGCTTAGAAGACCTAACAAATGCGCTTCACCTGGACTCACCAACCCAGGAACACTCACACTCTGTGTTTTTCAAGGACTGTTTCTTCTGTGAGGGCTTAGAGATCACTTTGATCAGCTTGCTGTGGAAAGTGCCAATCTCCTGGCCATTGCTGAAGAACAACTTTAGGACCAGCCGGAAGTGTTTCCTCTTGTCAGAGTCCGAAATGTACAGAGTTTTGGCACAGCTGAATTCCTGCATTCAAGGGAGAATAGCTGTGAGGACAAAACGATGACATGGAAACAAAACGAAGACATGGAAACAAAATCATGTTGTCCCCACTATTTAATTTTAGGTGGGTCACGGAAGTTGTGTTTGTGCAGAAATTTTGACGGGGAGTTTGACTATTCTGCTGATTCTGCTGAAGATATTCAGGGCAAGGAGGGGCCATGGCTCAGTGGAAAAGCTTCTGCTTGGCATGTAGAAGGTCCCAGGTCCAACCCCCAGCATTTCCGGTTAAAAGGACCAGGAGGAAGGTGATGTGAAAAACCTCTACACGAGACCCTGGGGAGCTGCTACCAGTCTGAGCAAAGAAAAATGACCCTGATGGACCCATGGTCTGATTCAGTATAAGGCAGCTTCATGTGATTCATGTGGATCACTTTTTATTGTGCTTTTAATTTGCTATGTTAGATTGCAAACCACTTGGCCTTGACACAGAGGCCTGGTTATACACCTTCCTGCCCCCAAACAAAGTAGCAACAACATACAAGGGGGGAAATCGATTCCTTCTACTGAGAAATAAGATTGCAAGGCATCCTTTCATTGAAAAGAAAACAAATTGACCTTCACAGGGAGTCAGTGTGAACTGCCACTGATTGGCTCAGCTGACAACCAATAAGCATGAAATATGGGTCAAAACAGCTCCCACTGAAACACATAATACTCCCCATTCAAAGCTCTTTGAGGTTCACGTAAAGGGGAAGGTGATTAGAGATGTTTTTACAGGTGGAATGAAGAATTCAGTGACAGTAAAGGCTTTATTTATTTTGGGGTTAGGGAAATCCAAATGGAAATCAGTGTTCACATGCAATTTATGCTGCACAACATAAAACAGATTACAGCTCCCAGTCATCTTGGCGCTCCCTCTGTTCTGATAGCCTTTGCTTTCACAACAAGTCAAGCGTAGCAAGCACAAAAGTCCTCTCTGTAGCTTTTCTGGCCCTCCTCTGGTCCCCACATTCTTCTGAGGCTGGAGATAATGCTGTAGACATTTTTGCTCTACAAGAAGGTGCCAAGTTATCACTGCCGCTCTTGATCTTTGGGTTTTCTTTCGCCACTTATCTGCCAACGAAAGAAGGCACTTCTGCTTGGCAACAAGCAGCATCAGTGTTCATCTACAGGGGCCGATGGCTTTGCAAGGCACGTAATTCCTGGCAGATCCCCAGCTGCAGAGAGTGCCAAGTATGGATGGACAAAAGCTCTGACAGATGGGTTTCTTTGAAGACCCTGAAATTCTGACTTTTTCTGGCTGCCAATGTGGCAATGCAGGGTGATGGTGCAGAACTGGAAATGGTGATTTGTGAGGAGGATGCTGAAGTTGATGGCAGGGGATAACTGAGAAGTTGCATGTCGTTGAACATTCTTTGGGAATGGGGAAGAGATCTGACTGGCTTCTTCAAGTGAAAACCCAACTGCTGCCAGGTTCAGTGCAGGAAACTAGGTGACTTCTTTCTAACTGGACAATGGGTTGGATCCAGTGGTCCATCAGCAGAAGGAGGTGACATTTGCGGATCTTTCTGATGTTCTGCTCCCCCAGCAGCCATTTCTGACACTGGGAAAGTTTATCCCTGAGGTTGCAGGAGCTGTGTGGAGTCATAACTGTGCTGGTTGGAAGACTGCATTGGGGAAGGGGAACGGGGCAAAATGGACCTCCTTTCTCACAGAGCTCCACTGACAGAAGAAGAAGAAGAAGGGAGTGATTGTACCTCCTTCCACTGCATGCCACCCAACCTGCAAGGCTATTAGTCCACAATGGTCCTGCAACCCGAGGAAGAAACTTCCCCAGGGTCGGAACAGGCTGCTGAGGGGAGGGGAATGCTGGAAAGATCCACGACCCTTGAGTCTGTGTATCACTGGATCCAGCCCCAATGACCTAGGGCCATTGCACAGGCTCCAGAGAGGCAAAGATCAGGAGTGGCCTTTACTGATTTTGTGCCTGTGACACCGAAACCTAAGCTGTGTGCTCCTTTCTCTGCAGATGGTCTAATGGCCACTGGCTGCTGCTGCCGTGGGTAAGGAGCTGCCATCTCCTCCAGCTGCTGGGAGGCTCCCATGATGAAGCTTTGCACACTAGGTTCTATTTCATCTGGCATCTATGTCTGTGTGACATTTGCCAGCATGTAGCATAACGCTAGACTAGACTTCATCCAAGGGCAGAGTGCCTAACTAGGGACAGGCTTCCTCCAAGTTTCCATTACTCTGAACATTCAAGCAATCAAAGGCTGAGATCAAAGGCCTTTTAGAGCAAATACGGCCTTGGGCCATGAGGGATCTTCCTTCCATCCAGCCACTAGAAGTTTACAATGTCAGATGGGTGTTGCCTCTTCCTGTTCACGGCACCGGCTGATTTCCTGAGGGATTTACACCCCCTGCACCAAACCCTTGGCAAAGGCTGTGCAGCTGTAGTATTGGTTGTTTAGTGCCAAAGCAGGGACGACTGTAAATCTCTGCTGGGCCATTCCAGTTAATCGCACTGTTCATGGAAGCTGACCCCACATCTTTTTCAATCAACAGTGATACCGTGATGGACAGCTTCCAAAGCTGGTCCATGCTTAGAGAACCAGAAATTGAAAGGATGGTAAAGATTGGTGCTGAACCAAATGTTCACTCCATTTAGATTTTGCATCATCACGGGGGAGGGTCATCTGAAAGGGTATTTTTATTGGAATAGTCACCCATTTCTCCTACATTTAGGTGGTCCCAGCAAAGCAAGCTTAGAAGTATTTCTCTTGGTATTGAGCCCCACTATACAGAAAAAGGAGCTGCGGTGGCTCAAGTGGTTAAGACGCTAAACTGCAGGCTGTGGAAGGGCAGTAGTTCAGCAGTTCGAGACCCGGGTGCCGCAAGACGGAGTGAGCTCCCGTCTCTAGTTCCAGCTCCTGCCAACCTAGCAGTTCGAAAGCAAGAAATTGCAAGTAGATAAATAGGTACCACTTTGGTGGGAAGGTAACAGCGTTCCGTGCGCCTTGGTGTTTAGTCATGCTCGCCACATGACCACGGAAACTTGGGAACCAGCCGGAACTCCGTTCCTGTGCGTTCCTGCCCAAAAATAGCCCTGCCCATGCTGCGTTGAGCCACATTATGTGGTTTACCTTGGAATCTGCTTGTTCCTCAAAGTTTAATTTCTGAGTTTCCACATGGCTGCTGCCCACACTGTCCAGCCCCATGTACCCACATACTTTGCAACTGGCTGCCATCCGATCTTTAGCTGGAAAAGAAAAGGAGAGAAGAGAAGGACATTACAGCAACGCCTTAGAACTTCAGACTGTTACCAAGGGAAGGAAAGAGAAAGAACAATTAATTCTTGCTTTCTGTTTTCCCATTTCCACTGTAATGAGTGGATCTAAAGGAGAGTGATGTGAGTCATTTATCATGTGGTTTGTGGAGGATGTTAGTATTCATCTTCTATGAATCGCACAGCAAACATATTTGATAGGTGAATATATAATATTTGACAGCTGCCATCATCCATGAGCCAAACGTCTCATCTGTTTGTCTGTCCACCTTGAACAGCTGTCAAACAGCTTTGCAGCTGTGCAATAGCTGGGGTGGTGAAGTTTCATTTTCTGACCCCAGTAGGGGCTTTTGCATCTGCACAAAAGGTGAGGTGATTCTATCCAGGATCATGGATGGTTGAAATAATTAAATGATGTGATACGCCTGGTGCTATGCCCCCCTTCCATATCAGGTTCCCCATGAGCCAAATTGCACACCAGGAGTTCCAAAAAACAGAACTTGGTGGCATCTTGTATAATTTTTTTCCTCAAAGATCTTGGGATAATCTCAGCTCTCCCTTTCTAAAGCAATGCCAGCTTTTGTATGCTCCCTTCCCTCGGTCCCTTCACGTGTCAGTAGGGTTGCCAAGTCTACTTACCTTGGCAGCGGGGGAGCCTCGCCGGGCTCCGGGAGCTCTCTGGCGATGCATGCCGCCAGCACATCACAGGAAGTGACGCGCTACATCGCTCACGTTGGGGGCGTGGCCCCGATCGTCAGAGGGGTTTCCCTCCGACGATCGGGGCCACACCCCCAACGTGAGAGACGTGGTCGCGTCACCTCTGGTGACACAATCATGCTGTGCTTCAGGGGGTAGAGTTCCCCCCGGGGCCCGATTTTGCGGCGGCGGAAATCGGGCCTCCAAAGCGGGGGTTTACCCACCACCTGCCCCCATTTGGCAGCCCTATGTGTCAGTAAACCATAAGACTGTAAAACTCTCCCTGTGGTATGGATGCATTTCCTGCAGCTGGCAGTCTGCTCTCCAACCCAACGGCCCCAGGCCTTTGTGGTGTTTCTTCAGGCTACCAGTTGACTTCTCTGTGTCCATTGCACTGATTAATCTGTGTAATTTAGGAAACAGAGGCCAAAGTAAATTCTGGGCCTAAGTGGACTGGCCACCAGAGGCCTACTAGGCCCAGGGAGCCTGGCTAGCAGTAAGGGAGGCTGGGCCTACAAACCCCAGAAGGCCTTGGGAAGTTTTGGTGCCGATTTTGACCAATAGGGAAGAAGAGGGCTGGGGAACTGGTACAACAGGAAAAGCTGTTCTTCTTCCCAGAGGGCAGAGTAGGGCTGCCAGCCTCCAGGTGTGGCCTGGGGATCTCCTGCTTTTACAACTGATCTCCAGCTGACAGAGATCAGCTCCCCTGGAGGAAATGGCTGCTTTGATGGGTAAACTCTATGGTATTGTACCAAGCTGAGGCCCCTCCCCTCCCCAAACCCCGCCTTCTCCTGGATATATCCCCAAAGTCTCCAGGTATTTTCCAACCCAGACCTGGCAACCCTAGGGCAGAGCCAGAAGGAAGGCTGCTGTGGGAAGAAACCCTCATCCTGAGGGAAGGGTGACTACTCTAAGGCCACTTGATAGTGAGCTAGGGACAGTATATATTTAGACACATTAGGGCATTTGATTTCTTTTCTTTTCACCCACTTACTGTTACTATTCCTGCACCTTTCATTGTTTACTTTGCCTGGTCCTCACACCTATTATTCTGCCAAAAGGGAGGTCTGAAGGTCTTGGGAGAGTGCTCTGGGCCTTCTCAAGAGAGCCTGGAACCAGAGTGGTGGCAGCGTCAGGTGACACCCCACCTGAGTCGTGATATGGACACATCTCCCCTTCATTCCTATGCTAGTATTAGATGTTTGGTCCCCTGAACACAGGGGAGCAGGGACAGCCTTAGGCTATGCAGAAGAAGTCTCCGCAGGGTATGTGAATGATTAGATAAAGAGTAGTGAGTTGCATGGTGTGAAAAGTATGGCAATACCTTTATAGGGTTGTCAACCTCCAGGTGGTGGCTGGAGAACTCTTGCTGTTGTGACTGATCTCCAGGTGACAGAGATCAGTTGACCTGGAGAAAATGGCTGCTTTGGAAGGTGGACTCTATGGCAGTATACCCCACTGAAGTCCCTCCCCTCGCCAAACACTACGCTTCCTAGGCTCCACCCCCAAAATCTCCTGGTATTTCCCAGCTTGGAGTTGGCAACCCTACATTGCTAACACAATGTCACATAGAGCAAAGCCATGGTCACCACATGTACAATGCCAGATGGGGACATGGCCAGATAATAGTTCTAGCGTAAATGTGCTGGTTGCTGAATACAAAGCTAAAATCTGTTGTGTAGTAAATGTGAATATAAAGTCTGATTGCAGCAAGATCTCTTTTGAACCTCATGGGTGAAAACACCCTTTGTCACATCTATCTCATAGATGGTTGGAGAGGCTCAATGTGCTGCTCTGAGCTCCTTGAATGAAGAGAACATCAATGTATGCCTTTTCATAGGAAAAAAAAGGTTCTGTGTCTTTAACAGAGGTTTAATGGGATATTAGTTACCAGTACCTTGGAAGGAACCACTGCAAGAGAAGCTTTGTGTGTCTGACTGCCGCAACCACATGGAAGGGTTGGCAAGCTAACACCAGGCTTTTACTTGGAACTGATGATGCATTGTAAAGCATCACCTCCACCCTCTACATTTCTCCCGCCAGCCTAAAGTGGGCAAACGGAAAGCCTGCCACAAGGGCATGGTCAGTCACATGACTCTTGCCACCCTGTAAGCATCCTGATTGGAGGGTGAGCAATGACTTTTGGGATCAGACCTGATGTTCACACACTAATCAGAGCCATGGGAGATAGCAAGAGTGGGTGAATAAGTGGGTAGGGGTAAGTGTACTTGGCTTGTACATAAAGGGACCCTAATCATAAAAATGTTCTCTTATTCCAAAAAAATACAAACATTCCCCTAGACAACGTTTCCTGTTCTGTTTATTTCAGCTCCTAAATGGATGCAGCAATCCCGAGATCATGACTGCCGCCTCGCTTCTTGCGCCTTTGCAACTTGTTCTGAAAACCTAGGCTCTTGTCATTGGCAGCTACAATATGTCCCTCATGCTCTCTATGGCCTGGGAACAATGAAGAACATGTGTTCATTTGTTTGTTTTCTTATATTTTATTAAACAGTCTATTCTTGTTATTATGTCTAAAAGCTGATGGGCTAAACAGGCTTCTCTGAAGAAAGAAGAACATGTAATGTACATTGGAGTGGATCCAAACCCCTATTCTAGCAAAGTTTGAAGCTTTCTGCTGGTCCATGGCTGCTAACTGCCTGGAGAGAAAAAGTTCTGTGTCTTTAACAGAGGTTTAATGGGATATTATTTACCAGGTGATGTTATTGGTCTCCATGCCACAAAAAGCTTCAGCTGCCCACTTCCACATATTAAGCCTCTCTGTTAGAGACAGCACATATTCTCAAGAACTGTAGTCAACCCTACTCCAGGCTAAGGATACTTCCTCCTACTTAAATGGTTCTTCCTTCAACAGAAAAGCCGCCTAAGTTGGAGGAAGGCTGCATCCAGGCCATCAATTGCATCACTACATCTTTCAATTGGCCATACCTTTCAGTTCTTCCTGCTTCAGTTTCCAGCCTGGTCCAATGAGATAAACACAAGGTGGTGGACAGAAAAACCTGATAAGAAATGAAATGTTTTGTCAGCCAAGCAAATATTAAGCTAAGGAACATAAGAACACAAGCGAAGCCAATGCTGGATCAGGCCAATGGCCCCTCCAGTCCAACACTCTGTCACTCAGTGGCCAAAAATACCAGGTGCCATCAGGAGGTCCATCAGTGGGGCCAGGACCCTAGAAGCCCTCCCAATGTTGCCCCCTCCAAGCACCAAGAATACAGTGCATCCCTTGCCCCAGCCTGTGAGTTCCTATCTATACCTTGTGGCTAATAGCCACTGATGGACCTCAGCTCCATATGTTTATCCAGTTCCCTCTTGAAGCTGTCCATGCTTGTAGCCTCTGCCACCTCCTGTGGCTTCTCTGTTATTCCTCTGGAGCATTCTAACACAAAATATATCTATATTGCTTCATCAAAGATTCAAAGGTTGGTGCAAAAATCATTCACAGGAAAAAGAAAAGTGAAACCACTGAATCTGTTCCACTGCAAGAATCTGCTTCATGAAGTTGATCACAGAAGGCTTTGTATGGACCCATGCTAGCCGTTTCCCCACCCTGTTCCCCTTAGAGCCCCCCTCCCCCATCAGGCTGTGATTTCAAGCATAAATATTATTACACCCTTTGGGAGGTGGTCAAGAGATGTCTCTTTCTTAATTGTGTACACTGCCATTTTTGGTGAATGCTCCGAGCTTTTTTTAATATCATGGTAAGGTTCAAATAAATTGATTGTGCTGCCAGTCTGTGTCCTCTTCTCTTTCCTACCAAGACTTGGTGTCCCGCCAGAATCCCATCCAGCCCAGTGAACCTAAGTGAAGCTGGTACACCAGGTGGAAGCTTGGTGACCAGGTAATTTTTTTTTTTGCAACAATTATTCAGTTATTGTTATAACCTTTTTGAGGAAGTCTAGTGCTGTGACTAAATGCTCAAATCCCTGCTTAGCCATTATCTGTCTATTCACTTAAAACATTTCTTGGCTATTTTTCCAAGCTGATGCAAAAATATAAATATGGCTGAGCTGAAACAGTAGGTAAACAGCAGTAAAAACCATGATGTAGCAATAAAACAAAGGAACATAACGACCACATCAAAGAAATCCGCTGAATGCAAGTTGAAATAAAAAGGTTGTACACCTCTTGTGGAGGGCTACAGAAGTGTATTTACTCACTTCATTTGGCTGAGCACTTCAGAGTACTGGGGCTACTGCAATGAACGCCCTGCTGTTCTAATCTCAAACAGAGAAGGTATACAGTGCAGGGCTTGATTTCTCAATTGCAACTGGTATATAGATTCCAAGAGTTTCATGGTGTAACCATTGACAAGTTGCTACCCACTTTGCAGACTTGTGAAGATGATACAGGAAACCACAGTTTGTTATAGCTTCTGAATCAAGCAACAGATTTGCCTGAAACTAACCAGTTAATTTGAGGATGAACTTCGAACTCAGCTTAAAGCCCTACGGTGACCGTTTGAGCCAAAAATCTCTAGGGCTCCACAAACAAACCTGTTGCCAACCGTCCAGGGGACTTGGAGGGTGTTGGGGGAGGCCTGTGCCCCTCCCCCGGGCAGGGCAAGCCACACACCCTGGCCCAAGCTCTCCTCTCCTCTTGCTTGGGTCCGCTCCCTTCTAGCAACAGCCAGAAAAGGGGTAAACACAGAGCCACACACAGTCCCAAGAAAGCACTTGAATGTTATGGCGGCCAGCACCACAAGGTGTGGGTGGGTGGGATTTAATTAGGGCTGCCAATTCCCCCCGGGGGGCGGATTTCCCCCCGCTTTGGAGGCCCGATTTCTGCCGCCGCAGAATCGGGCCCTGGGGGAAACCCCACCCCAGCGTGCACGTCACCCCTGGGTGACGTGCATGCAGGGCACGCGCGCTTGGGACGCCGTCCGGGAGCCCCCCGCTGCGAGAAAAAAAGGATTTGGCAACCCTAGATTTAATTAACTGTTCATAACTTCGGTTTTATGGTTTTATAATATTTTAGACTGTACTCTATTTTATACAATTATCTATGTTTTATAGTATTTTTTCTCTGTTTTTGGTTTGTAATGGCCTATGGCTAAATACAATAAAACCCTTCTCTCTCCCTACTGGCACTATCTTTCAACTGGTCTCTCATCCCATAAAGTCTTTGCTGTGGAACCATATCCTAAGACTTTCCATCTCTCAGCCCACCCACTGGTCAATGTAAAGGGGAAGATAACAGGCATTTGAGTATCAACAGAGACATTAGAAGCACAGGACTTTGTTGAAGGAGCTCCTTCAGGGTTTCTTCTTGCAACCTCCACCACCCATGATTAAGTCTTATTGCGACCTCTTTGATACCCCCCCACCGGCTCCAGAAGTCTGCATGAAATAGCCACATCTATCAGAGGCTCTGTAAGCTGAGCAGACCAACCCTCAGCCATGCAAGATGGTGGCGATTATATAGGGAAATAAGCTTGCATTTCTTCCTTGCTAGAGCAGAGGGAGAACTTGTCACGGTGACTTTTTCAGCTAGGAATGTGGAAGTTCCAACAGGTTGAGCACAGAGTTTACATTCACAGCCAGATCCGTAGACCAACACAAATAAACGGAGGTCCAGAGGTTTGGAAACATGTTTTCCTGTGTTTTGTTTGGGTTTCCGCCATCTTTAAACTCACGTGAATGGCTGAGATTCATGGCGTATTGACACCACATAAAATGTTAGTAATCAAAACATCAGAATGGGTGGTTTTATAGCCCTATGCAATAATAGTTTTTTTCAGCACATTTGTTATGATATATGGTCCCGGATTCAGCATACACAAGGGAAAAAAAGTAGTACAGTGGCTTATTTAAGCTTTAACTGGAATGTTTAGGGCTAGTTCTTTTTGTCCTGCCAAATCCACAACATTTCCATTTTCTAGAACACTTTGTGTCACAGTAGCATTAGCTCAAGATGCTGCCTATCATGTCCACTTGTGGAAATAGATGGTTATGTGAAGTTGGCCAAAGGCTTTGCTTGCAGGGTGGGGTGGGGAGAGATTGACTGGTGCTAATATCACTAACCATGTGCTGCCTTGACCAGAGGCCATTCCAGCAGCTTAATGAATATTTCAGGCTACGGGGACACTCTGCTTCTCACACAATTCTTGACACAATTCTTAAAAAAAAAGAAGAAAAAGGAGACTCCAGCATAAAACGGCTTATTGTGATTTGTTAACAGCATTTAAACTGCCTCTTGGTTTGGGATGAACCAGAATTCAGGATTTTTATTCCAATATAGCTGTGACTATGAGACGGATCAAAGGAAAACCTAATTTTATCCTGCGCATGGGACTAACTATGGGGTGGCTGTGGGTGGAGTGTCCATTTGGAGGCTTCATCTGCAGTCAATATAGGGAGGAGGATGAAGCTAAATTCCATTTTCAAAATGACGAAGCTAGAGAGCCAATGTGGTGTAGTTGTTAGACTTGCATCTGGGAAACCCCTGTTCAAATCTTCACTCTGCCATGGAAACTGGCTGGGGGGACATTGAGTCTGTCCTGAACTCTCGGCCTAACTTACCTCACAAGGTTGCTGTGAGGATAAAATGGAGGAGGGGTGAATGATGTAAGCAGCTTTGGGTACCCATTGGGGAGAAAGGCGGGGTATAAAATGAGGTCAATAAATAAATAAGCTCTGCATCACTCCCGTTTTAGCCCTTTAAAGAGCTTTTTCCACTTGGGAAGAGGTGGAAGGAAAGGGAAAGGAGGGTTCTGAGCTGTAGCAAATCCCAGTGTGATTGCCAACCCCTGAGAGGATCCAGCTATGACAAAATCTCAGACTCCCCACTGATTACTGGTGTAAACTAGCAGAGCATATCTAGTGAATGTTTCCTGATTTGATGTGACGTGTACATAATTATATTTCACTCTGTATGCACTGCATTTCATGATCCCCTTACCCTGCTATTTGTTTATAGCCACCTACATTAAATGAATGCAAAGTAAAGATTTGTTCATAGCCTCTGAAGAAGCGGGCTCTAGTCCATGACGCTTATGCAGGAATGAATTTTTGTTAGTCTTTATGGTACCACCAAACTCCTGTTTATTTTCACTGCAACAGACTAACACAGTGACCCTCTCTGGAACTGTTCACAAGAAAGTAATTCACAGAGCCAAGTTAGCTGGGGTCAAAAAGCAACATTAAAGGTATTGCTTCTCACCTGGCAGGTGCACCTGCATGCAGACAAGGGCTGTGGTCACACACACTCAATAATCCACTTTCAGTCCCTTTTCAGTACACTTTCCAACTGTTTTACTGTGTGAACTGGCAAAATCCAGTTGGAAAGTGCATTGAAAGTGGATTATTTAGTGTGTGTGACCGCAGCCCAGGAGAGGATATCCTACAGGCAGGTCTCTGGGGAAGCTCTCATTTCTTGCTGGGAGAGCCATCTGCCAAATGAGAAATGGTGCCTCTCATGTTCAATGTGGTATGCAGGGACATGGGAGGCAGGGAACCTGCATACAGTGATTACAGGGACCAAATGACACTCCTGAATTAGCATACAACATTTCTCTGTGTTCACACTTGCAATGAAAAAGTACCAAAATGTTTTGGTGGTTGGTTATGGAGGAGGCTCAGGTCATACTAGATGTAGTGATTTTTTGCATAACAAAGTTTGAGTCCAGGGGCACCTTTAAGACCAACAAAGCTGCGGTGGCTGGAAGTTCAGTAGTTCAGCGGTTCAAGACCCGGGTGCCGCAAGACAGGGTGAGCTCCTGTCTCTAGTTCCAGCTCCTGCCAACCTAGCAGTTCGAAAGCAAGAAATTGCAAGTAGATAAATAGGGACCACTTCGGTGGGAAGGTAACAGCGTTCCGTGCGCCTTGGTGTTTAGTCATGCCGGCCACATGACCACGGAAACGTCTTCGGACAGCGCTGGCTCTTCGGCTTTGTAACGGAGATGAGCACCGCAACCCTAGAGTCGGATTCGACTGGCTTTCGAGCAAGGGAACCTTTACCTTTACCTAAGCTTTCGTGTGCACACACACTTCTCCAGATACACTGAAATGGAAGTTATTCCAGTTTGGTCCTTGCATCTGTCAAACAACTTTAATATGCTGTATACTAATTTGCCACTCACCCTCTACCTATATGTACGGACTGGTAACTTCCATTTCAATGTATATGGAGAAGTGTGCGTGCACACAAAAGCTTATACTTTGAATAAAACTTTGTTGGTCTTAAAGATGCCACTGGACTCAAAGTTTGTTCTGCTGCTTCAGACCAACATGACTACTCACTTGATTTTTTTTGCAGTTTTTCAGAATACTCAGGACTCTAGGTTGTTCAATTTAAACAACCTAACACTTTGGTAGAACCTGATTTTTTTTCCTGCTTTCCATGCCTACAACATGCTTTCCAGACAGAGCTGCAGCTAGAGAATTAGTTCGTAGGTCAGAGTAAGGAAGGGAAACAGAGCTGGGAATGCCTTGATGACCAGCAAGAACGACACTTCAGGGACACACAAACATGTGCATGTATGCTGCAGAGGTCTCTGTGGTCCTCTGGCTTAAACAGGAAGTTCAAGGTGATTTCCTACCTTTTTTCATTGCCGTATGATTTCTGAGCAACTTTTGCATGGAGTATCAGCACAGTCTGGTCACATGGGAGCTGAAGGTATCTGCGCACTCCATCTCGGATAGGGTCTACTTGCTCCGGATTGGATCTAAATTAAAGGGAAATATAAGTGTAATCATATGTGCTCATGTACCACTCTGAGAACCAAAACTCATGAGCTGCAGCAGTTCGTGATGTATCTACAGCTGGTGATAGAAATGAGCACAAAAGCGGAAAGTTCTGCCCTCTATCTGCTGTGACATAGTTTCAAATATGCCATACATTTATTTCTATGTTTGGGAAGCATTCAGCATTACTGAAGTGGCACTGTTCACATGGTGCCCACCTGCCAACTGAAGTGGTAGTGTCCACATAGTATAAAATAGATGAATATGTAGTTTTATTATAAGCTGGAACAGCCACAAAGCTGTCCTTCTATATTTCAGATATTCAGCAAGAAGGGCAATTAGTTTGGAGGTGGGGTGGCTCTGTATGTCAGAGAGGGTATACAGTCCAGTAAGATTGAGAGGGTAAGAGAATTGGATTCACATCTGGAAATGCTATGGGTTGAAATAGTGGGCCCAGAAGGAAACTTAACACTTGGAGTTTGTTATCGCCCACCAGATCAAAAGCTAGAGGAGGATTATAAAATGATGAATTAAAGATAGCGGCTAGACAAAAAAACTGTATCGTAATAGGGGATTTTAACTACCCACACATTGATTGGGTCAATATGTGTTCTAGTCGGGAAAAAGAGATTTTGTTTCTAGACACTCTCAATGACTGTGCTATGGAGCAGATGGTCACGGTACCTACCAGGGGAGAGGCGATCCTGGATTTGGTCCTAAGTAATGCCCAAGACATGGTGAGAGATGTAAAAGTGATTGCACCACTTGGGAACAGTGACGATAATGTTATTGAGTTCAACATTTGTGTAAATAGGGAATTGGCCAAAAAGACTGACACAACCACTTTTAACTTTAAAAGGGGTAACTTCTCTGATATGAGGGGACATGTGAGGACGAAACTGAAAGGAAAAGTAGAAAGGGTCAAAACCATTGGGGAAGCTTGGACACTATTTAAGACTATATTGTGTAGTGGGTTAGCCGCATGGATGAAGGACACAAGTCTGCATGGTACACAGCACGCTTTATTGGTACACAACAAGAACAACCATTAACGGCCGACTGGCCAACTATATACACTCCTGGGGACACACCCATGGGTCCCGTTGGTGGGTTTGAATTGGTTCCATTGGTTCACCAGTGTAGGGACTAGGAGCCTAGTCCCTATTGTTCTCCCAGAGCGACTGGATGGGCCATTGGCCTGTTGGTGTATAAGCTTCAGCACTATGATCAGGAGCATCTATGTGACAGTTGACAGCTGCACTGAACCAGATTCAGCCAGTTTGGACTTAGGCAGAGGCAAGCCAAGTCACCATGATTCAGCACTACTCTGATTGGCTGATCGATATATATATGTGAATGTATTGCACTATATTCTCTCTCTCTCTGATGGTGGATGGTGTCTGGCGGAGCATTTTGTTAGAGAGCTGTATAATTTGTAAATAAATTCCTGTATATAGTAACCACTGGACTGTCTCAGTGTGGTTGACTATAGAAAAGCCTCTGGTTGCAAGGAATGACTGCTGGTGAGTGCAAGTGTGACTGAGGTTCTGGTTCAACTGTTCCAGATGCGCTGCGCAACATGGCCTGATCCAACATTGACTTCTCTTATGTTCTTATGAGCTGCTGTTAAAAGGACAGATAAAGAGGCCAGGTGAACAGTTGGGAAGCCTACAGGCAAAGTCTGGTATTTTTGCAGTTTTTTACCTGGACAGTCAGTGAAAAAGACTGTCCAGGTCAATACCGGACAAGTGGCCACCTTACCAATAACAGATATTGGGGGTAGGACAAAACAAGAAGTCTTTACCCACCGTTGGAAGGCAACCGGGGGAGGAAGTTCCTAAATTTTGGCATCATGACTGAGAAGGCCTGTCTAGCGATCCGTCTAGTCTCAGACAGCAGGGGCACACAAAGACCTCCAAAGATGACTAGAGTGGACAGGTAGGTTGAACACACACAGAGAGATGAAGCTGCCTTAAACTTAATCAGACCCTTGGTCCATCAAAGTCAATATTGTCTACTCAGACCAGCAGTGTCTCTCCAGGGTCTCAATCTGAGGTCTTTCACATCACCTCCTACCTGATCCTTTTAACTGGAGATGCCGAGGAGGCAGCCCTTAAGGTATGCTAGTTCCAAACCATACATGGCTTTAAAGGTCAATACCAGCACCCTGAACTGGGCCGGGAAATAAACTGGGAGCCAGTATACATACAGGACTGGACAATCCATGCCAGTCAACATTCTGTACCACCTGGAGCTTCCAGACAGGCTTCAAGGGCAGCCCCACGTATAGCTCATCAAAGGGACAGGGGAATTTTTCCTTGGCCAGCTGGCAATGCTACTCATAGCAGAGTGGGTATTTCAGCCCAGGCCTCCATATCCAACTCCCTTTCCAGAGGCTGCCATTGTTAGGCAGAAAATGCTATTTAGAACACCCACCTAAAATGCATATTGTTCTGAGGGCTAGTTTCACCATTGGCAACATTAGCTTCAAAGAGATCTTGGCAAGATTACTTCAGGAGACAGAGTGGCACAGGTACAGCCAAAGCAGTTCAATACGTAGAAGTCAATATGAGCACCCCTGTGTTGTGGTGGTTACAGTATCAGACTAGGATCTCGGAGACCCAGGTTTGAATCTCAACTCTGTCATGAAAATTTGCTGGGTGACCTTGGGACAGTCACACACTCTCAGCCTAGCCTAACTCACAGGGTTGTTATGTGGGCAAAAGGGAAGAAAGGAGAACCAAGTAAGCCACTTTGGATCCCCGGTGGGGAGAAAGGCACGGTATAAACCAGGGGTGTCAAACATGCAGCCCAGGGGGCTTCTATCAGGCCCACAGTGGAACTGGCTGTCTTCTGCTGCTGCTTCCAGTTCTGCTGCTGTTGCATCATACTCAAGATTGCAACAGCACAAACATTTTGATGCAATAAAATAATAAAAATAATTCCGAGCAAGAGGTGTCAGCTATCAGACACTGTTAAATAAACAAAATATTACAAGAGTGCTAATGTTTTAAGCACGTTTTTATTTTAAGTAAAAAACACCTTTGTGTTTGTGTCCTTTATAAAGTTTATATCTCCGCTATCTGGCATTATATTTTATGACACACATGATACATTATGACGCACAACAAGGTCTCATTTATGTCAAATCCAGCCCTCATAACAAATGAGTTTGACACTCCTGGTATAAACGAAGTAAAATAAACAGACTTAAAAAGAAGTGAAACCTTTTACAACATGATATATTAAGGTACACTTAAAAGCACAGGAACAGAAATTGGTTAAAAAAAAAGGCAAGTATAGTTTACTGCAACTAAGGACATAAACTTTAATTTCTATTCTCCTGGATTGCTTTCTTTAAGCTTTTACCCCGACAGACATTGTACAATTAACTTCTTAATGGGCCAAAATTCAGTAGACAAGGCTTTCCTCAACATGGAGATACTGTGAGGGGCATTTGTTTGATTTCTGCCTGTCAAGCAGGTGTTGCAGAAACACAGCCTCTGCTAGACAAAACAAGGTAGTGATAACCCTTGTTTCAGGAGACAGGATACTGATATTGTACAGCAGTGACTGTACAGTGTTGTACAATGATGTGCTGTGTCGGACAGCAACCCAAACCAAACACAGAAGTTCTCAGTTAAAAATTGAGATCAGTTCAGGCATACACAAATTGGAAATATATATAATTTACAAGAGCTAGAGCAAAGAGAATGGAATCAGGTTTTTATAGAGAGTCCATTCCATCGCTGTTCTGAAGTTTCTTCATACTAAGAAAGCACACACATTGCAAAGTAGGTCTTGTTAGAAATTCAGTTTTGGTACAATAATGATGGGTAAAAGGAACACGGGGTACCCATAATCCTAAGAGAGAGGACAAAAAAGGGGGAAGGCAAACTCAACCCTAAAATATACCAGCACTGTTCGAGGGGTCAAGCTAACAAAGATAAATATTATCAAAAATATCTTTTTATTTATGGTATACACAATAGCAAGTATAAAAGATTAAAAACAAGCAGTCTGAAGATCAGACTTCAAAGAACATCAGCATGAGCTTGAAATAAATGTTAGTCATTTTACATACAGAGTTGATGATTTCACATACAAGCCAAACTTTTTAAATAGTTATTTATTACTTATATTTATTTTAATCATTTCGCTTTCTTTTCTTTTTTGTACATTTTCAGAAAGCAGCACCTGGCTTCAGTTTATATATATTTGCTTCTCGATGTGTGTGTGTGTGTGTGTGTGTGTGTGTGTGTGTGATCATAGTATTATTGACCACTGAGGAAGGCCCTAGAGGCCAAAACACGAATGGTCCCATTGGTCATTTGATATAGTCATCATCTATGTATGTGATATCATCAACTCTGTATGTAAAATGGCTAAAGCTTATTTCAAGCTCATGTTGATGTTCTTTGAAGTCTGATCTTCAGACTGTGTTTTTAATCTTTTATATTTGTTATTGTGTACACCATAAATAAAAATATATTTTTGATAATAGTTATCTTTAAGTTAGCTTGACCCTTTGAACAGTGCTACCCACAATCCTCCAAATAAGTGTGGTCACCATTTTGTGTGAATAGGGCTGGGCATATTTTTCTATGGACATACACCTTCACTATGTGAAAATGAATACTCTCAAAAATCCAGTTAACTTTGTGTTCTGTTTGCACATAATGAAGCTGGAAAATATGCACTATTCACACAAAATGGTGACTGTATATCAGGAAAATTGTGGATAGCACACAATCGCATTATGTGTGGTTGGTGTGTAGCCTTACCAGATCTCCTGCTAGAGTGGGACAACACCTACCCCGGCCCCCACTGCTACTCTGTGGAGCAGTGGAAGCAAAATTGGGGGGAAATCAGCAAAATCATGCTGCAGTGCCACTTCCAACATGAACCCAGAAGTGACATCAATGCATTGGGGCATTGATTTAGAATCCTAGAATGTCACATCAACACAATGACATTTTCA